ATATGTATTGTAAATATTTCTTCCATTTTTAATGTCATCTTTTGATGAATGAACGTTTTTAATATAGTTTCAATTTATAATTTTTTCATGTGTGGGAATCAAATGTGAGACTAGGGAAATTCTCTACCACTGAGTTACACCATCAGTCCATGTTTCCCTTTAGCAGTTGCTATGGTTTGTATCTAGATGTCTCCACAAACCCTCATGAGCTCATAAATGGGGATTTTTCAGAGGTGATTGCATCTAGGTGTGTGCATATGGGTTAATTGTGTGTGATACTGGATTAGTCCCTCCATTTGATTAGCCTAGTTCTGGGTGTGGCTGAATGGATTTACTGAAGACAAAAGCCCCACCCTGAGTGTGGGTGGCACCAATCAATAGGCCTATAGCCTGGATGGAATAAAAAGGGACAGAAAGTTGGCAGCTTTGCTGGTTTCTGCCTGACATGCCATCAACTGTTTCTCCTCTGTGATGCCCCTCTACTATGCCACCCTGCCTTGGTCAACTGACTATGGAGTGAAAACCCTGTGAGCTAAAATAAACTTTTCTGCCTTTAGCTTGTGTCTGGAATTTTTGTCCCAGCAAAAATAAAATAACTAAGGCAATAGTTAAGATTTTTTAGGACATCAAGGCAGCCACAACAGCACAAATAAAGACATTCATGAAAGGTAACTTCCAGAAGTGCTTCAAAAAGTAGCAAAAATATTGGGATAAGTGTGTTCAAAGTGATGCGAAGTATTGTGAAGGGGATTAATGGCAATGTGTCTTTTACTGTAATAATTCATTAAACTTTCAGTATAGTTTTTTATTATATCTTGTACACTGTTATTAGTCAATGTTTCAAAATTTGATAATATATGCTTAGGATGAGGCTCATTGCATAAATTAGCATATATAAATTTATATTTCACATTTCTTCATAATTTCAAAGAATTTCAGTGTTGCTTTTCAGTGCTGCGTATCAGACTTACAGTGCCATGCATGGTAGTCAAGAGCTCTCACTGAGCTACACCTCCACTCCTTTAGCTGATCTTTATATCAGAATTGATTAGCTCTTTATGGATCTTGCTTTAACATGTGGCTGGTAAAATGGCTATACTAGAAACTGAAATTTCAGTTCTACCTCCTCTTAAGAAATGGACTGGAATGTTGTTCTTTGCTTGTACTTACTATTTTTCAACCATGGTTATTGCAGGATTAATTTTGATAATTTATTCATTTGTAAAACTTGGCATTAATCCTAGACAATGCCATCCATAAAGCCACCTAAGGAGGCACATGTATACTGTAATTCAGCTGGAAATGCCTAAAACAAACAATGTCTTACTGTTGTGGAAACTCCACTGTCCCCATTGCACCTCATGGGTTCTTTATAAAGCAGAAAATATGGCATAGGATATTGGTTAAGATTCCAGTACCAATTTGCATTTCGAACATCAGCAAAACTTAATAGGATTTCTTTTTCAGGAAGTGTTTAAGTATCAGTGGTAAGACTTGCTTCCCATGCTTAGCTGCGTTATCTTTTGCCTGCTGTGGTTCATGGTATGCTACGCCATGCTATGGTTCATGGCCCAGCTCAGAAACAACCATTTTGCACAATTTGTGCTTAAACCATAATTCCAATTTTCTCCTTATATTTTAGCAAAGTTGGCAAGATCTCTTCCACACTGGTAAAGTATAGTTATTGTTAACCCAATTGTGTAAATCACAATATCTCCACTCTTTCTTTGTCCATATATTTTGTGAAACCTCATTAAGACCCTTTTACAGTCCATGACTAATTTTTTATTTTAAAAAAGATAACTTTTAATTTTAACCTTTCCTATAATTGGGCCTAACTGCTTCATTAGGTAAATGAGGTAAGTTATCCAAAATAGGGAATTCAGCAAGCAAACATTAACAGACAGATGGTATTGACATCTTCAAGCATTTCAACCCTCCAGCAAGCTCTATGTGATGAACACTTAGTTTTGTCCTCTATCGCTAACTATCCATCTATATGCTCAAGAGATACCATGCTTATTGTTTCACTACCATTATCTAAAGGAATAAAATATGAATCCCATTTTTATATATTCCTGCCCTCTAAGAACATTAATATTTAAACATTATTAAATATTCAATAGTTTAATTTCAAACTAGATATTTTAAAAAGTCACTGAGTCTTAGACATGCAGAGTATTGAATAGATAATACCTATAAAGGCACTATCTGTGAGTAGAGAGAAATCTCTGAAATTAAACACACCAGTTCAGCAATAACCTTGCAAATGAATGAAGCATGGATGTACTTTCATTTATGTAATGAGTAGCCACTATATCTAGGAAAGGCTACTGGGTTCTGTAGGAAATTATCAAGCTGACTAAAGGCTAACAAAGAAATAGATGATGAGACCAGGCTCTAGTAAAAAGATAGGGGAAATACATGTATGAGACTAAAGGGAATTTCATTGGCAATATCATAAACTAGATGGGTTTCTTTGCTTAGCAAATGAAAGTCCTGTAGTTCAGAATTTAGTCCTAGACAAACTACCATTTTATCTTCCTAATCTCTTAATTTATGACTCTTGATAATATACTCTTTTTCAAATGTTTTCCTTAATGTATAATATTATTAAATAAAAAGGATGAATATATGATATAAAGTGCACAATTTCCACGATTTTGCAGTGCACAGCATAAACCTGCACTGTGTCTTTCTTGTCCTATGGTCTGAAACATAAGATTATACTACACATAATTTTTCAGGATTTTACTATGTAATGGACACCCTTTTAAATTTTGAAAAATGCAGTTAACTTTGGCAATGCAGAGAAATATAGTTAGTATTAGGGTTAGGGTTAGAGTTTAGTTTAAAGAAATAATGAGTATCATCTATATAATATCTGTTCAATATTTATGGATGTTTGTGATTATTGTTGGACTAATGTGACAGCAGACTTTGTAAATACACCAAAGCTGACTATAGCTCATGTATGTTTTGCCAGCATTCTTTTTCTGATTGCATAAGTAATTTAATAGCAATTTTTAAAATTAGAATGTTCTTAAGAGTTTAAGCAATGAAATAAAATCTACCCACAACTAAATTGCTATTTGAATGTATTTCAAACATGACTTATCTTCAGCTTATGAATATATAACATATGAGATTTTATTCCTACAATCTGTAGCTGCATTGTAGTTTTTTTGTTAGCTACACATTATGAACTTTTCTTTTTTTGTTAAAGACTTTTAAAGTACTCAGCTTTAAAGATTTTTATATTTCATGCTGTAGGAATATTGTAAATTGTATAACCTTTCTCATATTTTTGGATATATGTTATATCTGATCTAAATCTGTGCATTTTGAGGAATGCCTATACATGGAATTCCTCATCCAAGAATTATTTAAAACTTCTGGTACAATTTGTTAAACTTTCAGAAAGGATATAGAATTTTATACTGGAGCTAATAGTGTATTACAGAAACCTCCATTTTACTGTAGCTTTACATGTGCTCAATATCACATTACTTTCTTGTCAGTAATATGGAAAATAAAATAATAATTTGTGTTCATTTTAATTTCCTTATAAACAACTAAGAAACATATACTTGTATATTTGCTGCTATAGATAAGTTTTTGAGTTTATTCTTTATGTCTCTTTTCCTGAATTATCTACTGGTGTTAAAATTTTTGAACTGATTTTAATAGTACAACTTCTTACAGAAAAAAATGCTGCTGTGTATTTAATTTATATGCCCTGAATGTTTGCCTCAGCTTATTTTTTATTTTAATTTTTTGACTTTCAAAGTTTCAGCAGTCTTCATTCATTCCAATCAGTGATTTATCCTGTGTCATTTCTTGTGCTATTTTTATGCTTAGAATATTTTCCTTTTGGAAACCATACTTAATCCATGTTTCCATCTTCTCATGGAGTTATATTTACTTATGTTTTGCTATTTAATTAATCTGAAATAATTTGATGCATGGTGTATAAAAGGACTCTCACTTTCTTTTTGTTCTGGAATAGTTGTTCTAGTAGTTCAGTCATCCCATGTGACTATGACCACCGAGGCCATACTCATTTTTTAAAAATTATGTATCACTTTTGTGCCCAGAACACAATATTTTAGGTATTGCCTATTTTCTGTATTTTTTTCTTTTTAAAATTTTACTTCCTTTTAGTTTTCACTGAATAATGGAAAATGTTGTTAGTAATAAGCTTACAATAATTGCAAGAAACATCATATATTTAGCAACTATTTGGTTGTAACAGTATAAAAAAACTACATTCAAAAAAAATCAGAAATTTTGTTGCATCAAACATGAACTTTCCATCCCTAATGCAAGGTTAGAGAAGACCTTGTGGGACATGTATCTTCCAAATTATATTTAATTATTTCATAATTAAGCATCCTGTGTTATCACCACAGAGAAGGTGTTTATGGTATATATAATGCTAAAGTGCATGAATATTTTCCAAGTTTTCTTTTACCAGAGCCTATCATGTCTAGGGATCTAAAAAAGTATGACTTAAATCAGTGCATTCTACAAGTTCAAAATCAACACCAAAAGCTGTATGTAGGTTGACATTAATCAGCGAAGAGTTTTTGAATATGAGACATAAAAAAGATGAGAAAAAAAGCAAAATTAGCATTTATTTCATAACAATTGTGTTTGCTTAGCTATTTAATTTCATCCTCATTTCTGACTTTTAAGGAAAAAATTTCCTTAAATTTCACATTTTTACAAAGGACCCAAATGTTTCCTTTTTATAATTCAATTGATAGACTACTGGGAATGTGATATTTTAAAATTATTTTTGCAACTATTTTAGATACCATAGAGAACTTTATTGCTTTGTATATTTATTTGTAACATCATTCTTTAATAAATCTTTAGTGTTTCTAATATATCATGGGCAAAATCTCTTAATTAATTTTTAGTTTATCTGAGAATGTTATGAAGTGGATTTCTTCTCTTTTAATAGTGCTAACTTTTGTCACTGCTGATTGTCACAGTCGATTGGCTCCTGCTCCCAGACATGTGATATCTTGCTTCCAAGACTTGTTTCGGCTGTTAATGGAAATGCCTCTGTAGTTTCAAGGCTAAGTATGATCCTGTCTGTTGGCTTCAAGAGGTAGCCTTCATTGTAAAGGTAACTGTCTTTCCTTCCCTGTATTTCCATAACTTTCAAAGAATAACTGATTGTTATATAGCATAAAATTATCATTCTGAAGATTTGAAAATAGTAATTTTCTCTGACATATTGATTTGTCTGTATTATAGAAAATTATAGAACTTTAACATAAAGCATCTTTTGTTTTCTAAAACAGATGCTATGTGATCATGTTATGTTACTATTTTATTAGAAAATATGAAATAAAGATAAAAATTATTCTCTTTTGTGTTCTTCAAAGGTTTTGGAGTATAGATTATGATGGTTTAATAAAATAACGTGATGATTTTTCTAATAGAAAAGTTTTGAGTGGGTGGCCTAGATGGAAAGAGAATTACCAGCTTTTTAAAATTAAAAGAAAAGTGTATTTATTAATACACTGACTGCATCTATAGATTTTTGGAGAAAATTATTTGACTCTCTGTTTTCAGTTTTACTCAGACTTGGACAATAATTCAAAATTTCTACATTGCATCTATTAGCTACTGTGCTATTTAAATAGGGTTCCAGCTAAAACTATCTATTGTTATCCACAAAAATACTACAAATTAGGTAGAAAGTCATTTTCTCCATCAATGACAAAAATATTGGTTCAAACATACTGTGCCTGATCCAAAATCCCAAGCCACAGTCATTTGACACTTTTCCTCCTGTGTGCTCCCTGGGACAGATATTTCATCATTTCAGTTATCACTGTGTTTTGATCAAGATGGGTTAATGTTCCCTTTAGTTTGACTAAATGTTAGAGAGGTTTCTTCCTGACTATACAGGCTTCTTCCTTTTGTTTCTTCTTAGTCCATGTCTGCAGTACATAATGATCACATTTCTCATGGGGGACTTGTACATAACACATCTTAATTCTTTTTTTCTCCCCTTCCCCTCCTGTCCCTCCAACCCCACTTTGCCTCCCCCATTTACAAAAGATCTATTTCCATTTTATCTTTCAAATGTTTATTTTTTAAAAATCCCTTTTCCATACCTATCTCTCCATCTTTTGGTCCCCTTCCCATTTAAACAAGTTCTTTCTACTTCCTAACATCTCTCCCCCTATTTGCTCTGTACTTATATATTAGGTTTCTCATGCAAGAGAAAAAAGTGTGATATTTAAACTTGTGTGTTTGATTTATTTCATTTAACATTATGGTCTCCAGGTATATCCCCTTACCTGAAAATCCTCAGATATGTCCTTTACAGCACAGTAGTATTCCTTTGTATATAAATATCACATTTCCTTTATCCATTCATCTGTTAGCATACGGGCTGTTACCAAGATTTAGCTACTATAAATTAAATTGTTCTGCTATAAATATGGATATGCCTATGGTATGATGAATTCACTTCCTTCAGCAAGATACTTTGGAGTAGAATAGCTGGGACAAATGGAACCTCTAGTTTTAGCTTTTTGAAGATCTCCATATTGCTGTCCATAGTGGTTGTAACAATTTACATTCCCATCAACAATGCAGTAGGATTCCTTTTACCCCACAGCCTTCCCAGCATTTGATATTGTTTGATTTCTTGATGATAGCTATTCTTTCTGGCATCAGATGGAATTTCAATGTTGTTTTAATATCATTTCTCAAATGGCCAGTGATGTTGAGCACTTTTTCATGTACTTATTGGCCTTTTGTACTCCCTCATCTGAGAAGAGTATTCATTTTAGAGGCCCATTTTTGGATTAGCTCTTTAAATTTTGGGGATTTCTTTTTTTTAGTTCTTTCTATATTCTAGATATCAGTCCTCTGAGGAGTAGCTGGCAAACTTTTTCCCATTCTGTGGTTTTTCTCTTCACTCTATTGGTGGTTTCCTTTGTTGTGCAGAAGCTTTTTAACTTGATGTGATCCCATTTGTTGATTGTAATATTTCATGCAAAATTGAACAAATGAGTTTTGCTCATAAAATCTTTGCAACAGCATAGTATTAGCACTTCTTTTTGGAACACATGAAATTATGATTTTTTTCTCTGCCCCCTTCATATGTAAATTTTCTTCCAGCCTCTTACCAGTTAGAAGGCAGAAATCTCTTTCTTGGGACTTTGGAGGAATTCCTTTGAAATGCAACTGTGAAGAGAGACAGTGCCTCTATCTCTAGTCTCTTGTGGGACAGTAGGAACTTAACTTCTGTAAGCATCAACTAGCAAACAAAATGGCCTGCTTACACTTACCACCCTCCCAATGATATTCTCCTGAGCTTTTCTCTTATCTCACCCAGGAGTTATTTAAAACCTCTCCAGCCTATTTTTTTGGTCTCAATTGAAATAGTCCTGAAAAAGTATTCATTGACTGTTTAAGCATCAGGAGCAATGTTTCCTTTCTGCTACTAAAGTGTTTCTGTTTATTTGGTTTTCTTCCCCTCTGCTCTTTGAAGTTCCTGAAAGGCGATATGAGATTTTAATTTTGCATAGTCCCTGGTACTTAAAAAAGTGCCTAAACTTACTAGATATTTAATAAGTATCAATCAAATGTATGGAATATATTTGAATGAATGGCCTGCAGGTAGGCAGTACAGAAACCAGAGTTCCTATTTCCATTGTAAGTGCAGTTCCTTCAAATTTTTCAATTTATTACATTTAGAAACGATGACCCCCAGATGCTTCATCCTCTACAGAGGTGAAAAATTAACAGTTGTTGTTGATACCTCTGTAGTACTTTATAAACAAGACCCAGATTTTTTTTTTATTAAATTCTTTTATTGGTACATTGTAGGTATACAACACAATTACATTTCTCATTAGGAATTGTACCTTTACATAATGCTTCTTGGTTCTTATTTTTTCCCCATTCCTAGCCCTCCCTTCACCCCCTCTGCCCTTCCCTATTTACAAAGACTTTATTTCCATTTTTTCCATTTCTCATCATTTTTCCTTTCCCTTCTTTCCTTTCCCCTGCCCCT